TAGTTGTAAAACGGAAACCAACTTGCAACTGTTCAAAAGACTAAGCCCAATGTCAATCCTCCTGGGAGTGCTAGTGATTTTCTACATTAATTGGATTCATCAATACTGCCATATGTAGTGTCACAGGCTGTATGAAGAGTAGTTCACATTAAGACTGTTACATTTATGATCCTGTCACTGGTGACAACTCACCAGCAACAGGTTGCTATGAAGGACATCGAAGGACAGAGAATTACTCATACCCATTTGTTCATGCTGCTCCCTCACTGGTTGGATGAGTGAGGCATCATTCTTTCGCTAGCAAGTGAAATTCTGCAGTGATTTTTTCAGTGAGGGAGCAATGCCTCACTACTCCAACCTGTGGAAACAGGTGTTTTTCATAGCACAATTTAGTGCTCCTATTACTGGCTAGTACAAGTAGCCAAGTAGCAAGGTTTTCAGAACTGTGATAATTGTAATATATTGCAGCTCACCAATCCTTAAATGTGGTGGCTGTATTAATTTTCTTAGGTTTTTTTAGGTTTTTTTTTTTAGGTTTCCTTTTCTTTATTTTCACCTGGTAATCCTCCAAGAAACACACTTCCTGTTTTAGGGTGACTCCACTATAAATGGAGTCACACTTGAAAAGCACCATTTAGAAAGGTAATGTTAGATGGACTAGTAGATTTCAGTGGGCTTTACATAAGTGACAAACAAATGAATGCCTAACTCCAGTGTAGACTTTTTATGCAGTTATATTTTTTTCACTTTTGCTATAAAGGTTTGATGGGGAAATTTCACATTACATATTTCATTATTAATGTTGGCCTCAAGAATCTAAGAAGGCCTCTATCATTCTGGTTATCCTGGTTGCCTTAAATGACTTCATGTTCTAGGAATGTTTATAGGAATGCTGGTTGCTGTTTGCACTCCTCCTAACTCCACTCCATCCTTACCCACACCACAGGGCTCTGGGGAGCTACATCCTCCTCATCACTGGCCCGGCACAGCAGGTACAGTGGGGTATCCTGGCTGATATAGCGGGCTCAGCTGGCTAGGTGAGGCTCTTCCTCTGGTACTTGAAGCAGCAGACTGTTCTCCCCCGTCCTCATCCACACTGACACTGCCCAGGACAGGAGCTGGATCCCCCGACCACCGTTCACAGCCAGTGCTGCTCTGTGGACCGAGCTTCCCACTCTCTGTCCACTCCACATCCCTGCTCATCATCAGAGGACTCCTCCAGCTGTATGTCCACTCCACTCCTCTGTACACCTTCACTGTTCTGCTGTGACCAACACCCCCGACCAGCAGGACCTCCAGCACACTCAGCCACCAGCGCAGAGCCCAAATCTTTGCCTCCATAACAGAGCCCTCACCACGGGCTGGGAAGCTGCAGAACTCTCCTCCACCACCTTCAACATTACCCACTGACTCCAAAATGGCTATAACACCCCCAAACCGTCACCCCGAGTCGCTCCAAGCACCCCTCATTAACATAGATCTGCTCTGTCCAACACAGCTTCCCACACTCCCATCTTCACCTCACCAGGGAGGAGCTCACCAAGTCATAATGTGAGCATACCCTCCCACATAATGCCCGGACACCTCATACCCCCTCACATACCGCCCGGACACCTCATACCTCTCACATACTGCCTGGGCACCTCATACTGCCTGGATGCTTCATATTCGTCACATACTGCCTGGATACCTCATACCCCCCACATACCACCCAGACACCTCATAACCCCCATATACCACCTGCCACCTGGACACATCATACACCCCACATACTGCTCGGATACCTCATACCCCCCACATACCTCCTGGACATCTCCTACCCCTCACATACTTCCCGGACAGCTTCTACCCCCCACATACCATCTGCCACCTGGACACGTCATACACCCCACATACCGCCCGGACACCTCATACCCCCCACATACCGCCTGGACATCTCATACCTCCCCACATACCACCCGGACACTTCATACCCCCCACATGCCACTGGGACACCTCATATGCCCCACATACCGCCTGGACATCTCATACCCCCCACATACCTCATACCCCCCACATACCACCTGGACACCTCATACCCCTCACATACTGCCCAGACACCTCATACCCCCCACATACCGCCCGGACACCTCATACTCATCACATACTGCCTGGACACCTCATACCCCCACATACCACCTGTCACCTGGACACGCCATACACCCTATATACAACCCGAACACCTCATACCCCCCACATACTGCCTGGACATCTCATACCCCCCACATACCACCTGGACACCTCCTACTCCCCACATACCACCTGGACATGTCATATACCCCACATACCGCCCGGACACCTCATACCCCCACATACTGCTTGGAACACCACATACCCCCTACATACCGCCTGGACACTGCTCCTCATCTACCCCACATACCACCCCCCAGTCACGGCTCCTCATAGACCACACATTCCACCCACAGTCACCACTCCTCACTGATCCCACATATCGCCCCCAGTCACTGCTCCTCATAGACCCCACATACCATCCCCAGTCACCACTCTTCATAGACCCCACATACCACCCCCAGTCACCACTCCTCATTGACCCCACATACCACTCCTAGTCACAGCTCCTAAAAGATCCCACATACCACCCCCAGTCACTGCTCTTCATAGACCACACAGATCCCCAGACACCGCTCCTCATAGACCTCACAAACTGCCCCAGACACCGCTCCTCATAGAGCACACATACTCCCTGGACACCACTCCTCATAGACCCAACATACCTCTCCAAGTCACCGCTCCTCAAAGACCCCACATATAGCCCCCAGTCACCGCTCCTTATAAACCCCACATACCGTCCCCAGTCACTGATCATCATAGACCCCACATACCACCCTCAGTCACCTCTCCTCACAGACCCAACATACCGCCCCCAGTCATCGCTCCTTATTCAGCCAATGAGGTGATGCACAAGCCGTGCAACATCAATTCCCCCTGCTCCCAAGTCTCCACACGGAGCCAACATTGGTAAGAAGGTGAGAAAGCATCCCTACACAAGCTGTGTTTGCAGTCTTTTATTTTTTTTTGTGCAGGGGGTGCAAGTAGCTGGTCTTGCCTAGGGCGCAAAATAGTTCAGCACCGGCCCTGCCTCCAATAAATTATAGCAAGGGTTACTATGACTTACATCAATGGGTACATTAGAAAGGGTATCTAAAATATATATGTCCAAGAATTTGTAAAAATATTTTATTATATACTACAATTCAACCCAAAGAACCCAACAATAACTATGTTATTAACCAAGAAGGTGTAAACATACATGCATTATGGTAGCCTTATTCATAATGGAAATTTTGGATGTATGCATCAACAATATATTTTAAGAAATGAAAGGAACATTAAAGTAAACAAGACTTGAATTTATTGGCAACATTTTTCATATCTTCTGTGAGGTGACATTTTTTTTGTATAAAAAGGACTTTCATCAGTAAAAGAAAAAAAAATAATTCTATATCCTGTTAATTAAACGTCATGGGAAAATGAGCTAGTGGGATCTGAGACCAATTAATTTAACAGTTTATTTATGAAAGAGTAACAAACAATTTTCAAGTCTTACATATATTATGAAAAATAATTACAAAAGGATTTTATTTTTAATGTGAAAATCTTTATCTTTATTTTCCAGCTAAAACCAGAAAGGGGAGGAAAAAATCCACATGAAGTTCCTAGACAAATTTGGATGCCAAATTACTTGAGTATTTAATTAGCAGCCCCTCCTAAATTTCTTTGCAACCGGGTAGAATCACATGACCTCAACATATCCCTTTACATAAATATATAAAAGTAAATTATGATAGCAAACTTTAGCACTGTCCAATATGTTTTACTTTTTATTCTCAGCTTAAACTATATTTACCAACATTCACACTGACCATTGTTAACTAGTTAACTGTACTTGTAAACACTGAACAAATGCATAACTAGTGTTTGGAGTCCAGTTTTAATATTAAGTGATTGAAGATGCACAAACCTCTATGATACATAAATTCAAACAAACTTGAGTTGACCAAAGACTTCACACAGAATTGACAAATATCTTATACAGAAATATCTCTCAATACATATTTCCCCGACCACAAATAATAATTAAAAAAAAGTTATTTTAGGTATATACATGCATGTCATGACATCCTGGAATGAGGTATTAGCACCATCAAATATTGCACCAAAATGGTTTCATATTGCAAAAGAAAAATGCAACACAAAAATAGGCAAATTTTGATTATCAATTTTGTCTTCCAGTTTGGAAACCTGAGGCTTTATATATAGAGACTGTAAATATATATATATTTATTTTGTTTTAGCAACAGCAAATAAGAGAGGTCTTCCACGTCAATATATACAAAGGGATTTTATTTGAAGTCAGAAAGAAGGGTTGGAGTCCACTGGAATTACACGTTATTTTGCACAATACAGACACTGTATCCTTTTTACACAGTGGGGAACCTTTTTTGGGGTTTCTTTTCTCTTTGTATTATGGCTCAACCCAGAGTCACATGCAAGTTTTGGAAAGGGACATGCAAGCTGTGTAATAGGTCTGCAGAATAATTACATGTGTACAGCATTTGATAAACCCATTTACAAGAAATGAATAGCACCTATTATGGATGAAGCCTGTTTTAGGTATTTTCCAGCACCAAAAGATTTCCATGAAAGGAGGACACGGTTGTCCTTACAGTATCACATCTAAGTCCTTCATATTTTGGCAAATGCTTTCTGGTTAAGTCATGTGATTCTGCCCGAGATGAGGATGGCTGGCAAATGCTAAGTAACTGCACTGAGCTTTTTTTCTTGTTATTTATCTGGTTTTTCTTCCCCTGTGCACAATCCGTATTCAAAACTTGCATGTGGCGAACTCGTCTCTGGTGGTATCCAAAGCCTGACGCGCTTTTTTTTAGAAAATAATTTTTTACACATTTTTTTAGAAGCTGCTTGTCCGCATTTCAGTCTCAACCTAAGAAGCAGGCTGGTCCAACCTCAAATCCAAACTTCTGATTCTGATCCCCAAAGTCACTGATCATAACATCTGCTATAGGCAATTGATCTATCTTCAGGGTGTTGATTTCCAGGACTGTTCGTGCGTATCCTTTTCTCAGCTGTAAGACAGGAAGCAAGAGTATAAGCACACAATGGGTATTTAGTATCTAAACCAATGTAAATGTTAGCACTGTGCTGAATCTCTAAATATTATTGCTGCTACTGTAATTGTATAGAGCAATGTATTGTCTCAAAATACCCATAATCCTAATGGGCAATTTAAAGGCATGGTTCTCTTTACTCAATTAATTAGCTGGAATGCACTGTATAAAACAGTCACTCTGGGCTAAAGAGGATGCCACATGGCATATCCAATTATAATATAATTATCACATAATCTCTCAATATCTTTTTATGTGCTATTCCATTAGGCTATGAACACCTGCATCTTGAATCCATGCAGCCAACAAAGGCAGGCAACAAAATAATGATGCTGTACATTATTTAAAAATTGCCTAAAATATATTTAAACATATATTTAAAATGTACCTTTTTGTATGTTACTGCATAGTGGAAGAGCTGCCACAGTATGGCTTGACAACTGCCACACAATGGCTTGACAGTTTCTTAAGTTGTATATTACAAATCTTGGCCCACCAACTTCCATGATGTCAGTGAAAGCCTGAACTGAGGAAGTTTGTGCATATGTATACATGCCTGCCTGCCTCCAGATACAGGTGCTAAGAAGTTTTTAAGTAAAAGTAAGCAGCTTAGTGGTTTTCTGAAGAAAAATAAAACAGCTGACAGGCAGAGGGAAACACACAGTAATTGAGAATTATTGAGAACTAAGGGTATACCTGGCAGGAATATGAAATAATATGTTTTGGTTGTATGCAGAGTGTCATTTGATATTTGGACCCTCACCTTATATAATAAAGAGTATTTGTATCTCATCCACAAAAAAACTTGACAGTAAATAAACATACACATACAAGCACTCTAAAAAAATGTTCATAAAAAAAAATCCCATGATGTAAATCCAACATCACTCACATCTTCCAGTGTTGTAGTGACATTGTGAACCACAATGAACACAAACACTACAACCCACAGCAACGGTTCTTTCCCACCAGACTCTCATCATAAATGACAGCTTCCTGACTGGTTTCTGAATGTAAACAGGCAGTGATACTGGCTGACATAATTGACTAAATATAGTCATGACTATATATCACTAATATCAGTCGAGATCCCCTGGCCGCTTTGTTTACAAGAAGCAAGCTGGAGATCAGAACTGTCATTTAATGGAAATAGGGTTTTTTTTGTCAAATGCCACTTTTGTGGAAGTACTGTATATCCTAATGTATGTGTATGTATGAATGTGAGTTAGGGACCCCTAGATTGTAAGAACCTTAAAGGCAGGAACTGATGCGAATGTATAATAAATATGTAAAGTGCTGCGTAAATTGACAGCGCTATATAAGTACCTGAAATAAATAATGAATAAATAATGGAGTGCCAGTTCATGTGCAGGCTTAAGGCATGCCCAAAGCATTTTATGTATGGGGATTGTGTATTTTAATGTTGCCCTTTAAACCTTTTTAAAAGACCTGCTCCCAAAAAAGTTTTTTTTTTTTTTTGGGGGGGGGGGGTGTTTGCATTGGTACATGTCCTCCATAATAGTGCCCAGCTACCCATGGCCTTTTTTTTTACCAAATGTTTGCAAACTGTCCAGGATAAGTGATAAGTACCAGAAACAAATTAGAAGATTCAACTCCCATAGACTTCAAATTTTTCAAAATGTGTTCACAAATATACAGTCAACAAACTTTGCTCAGTTCATTCACCACTATTCAGTACACAGTAAATATGAACATGTTTTGTTTATGCACCAGTTATAATAACAACTAATGAGTTTAACTTTCCATTAGGAGTACAGTGCTGAGTGCAAAAATGAAAAAAAAAAACGAAAAAAAAACTATACAACTATTTTCACTGACAAGTCGGTTGTCTAATCCTTGTAAATTGGCACATAATGTTTAAAAGGATGCTGATCTTAGTTCAAAGAATACATTTAACCTTTCCATTCCATACCTGGCAGAGTAGCTTTCCCTATTAAGACTACAGACCAAGATTTTAAGACACGAAGTATAAGTAGCTATCTCATCTGTATTGGTTTTGTTTTAGTGAACAAATACAAGACATCTTCATGGCTATCAATGTTCTCTTAGGACACCATGAATGGATTTATCATTAAATCATAGGCCCATGTCAGGATAGGTTGAGGCTATGTTTTGCCCTCCCATAAAGGGTTATTTTAGTAATACTGTAAATATGAATTATGTTTTTCATTACCTTACTTCAGTTATCCGGAAAAAATGACTGGCTGCTTTGATTAACAATATCTACATACCCTCTTTCTCCTTTTTACAGACTAATGGAATATCACCAAATAAAGTGATTTGTAATTGATTACTGGAAGTTCCCCTTGTACTTAATTATTAAGTAAGCTCTATAACAAATATTAATGAATCTTATATATTAGGTGACACTAAATTAGTTTGTTGTATTTTTTTTTCTTCTCATCCTGCTGCCACAATTTTATATTTCTGCTCTCACATCATTTCCCCTATTGTTTCTGTCAACAGTACCTTGAAAACATAAGTAATACATTTTCATTCCATACTATCTGGTCTGCCATTTATCCAGGGAGTATTGTTGAAAACATTAGGCTTAGAAATATTTCCATAAGTCAATAAAGTGGTTACATCGATAGAGATATCCTATTGCTCTATGTGTACTGTAATATTTATTACTGATTTAGAACAAATTAAAACACAGGTCTATCAAAAGCCATGGAGAAGCAATTAGTTTTGCTAATTTATAAATAGGATGTGTGTTTAGTGGTGTGGAAAACGCTTTCCATAATATATGTGTTGAACAAAGATGCTTCCAGAGAGCAGAGAAGGAAAATTATTACTTTTATTCAAAACAATATATATATATATATATATATATATATATATATATATATATATAATAAAAATATATATTTTTATTATATATCATCTATTAAACTGAATTCTGCATTTTTCCTTTACATTCTGCCTTATTCTCTTTCATTATCATTTTCAATAAGTACATTGTACAATGTAATTATTCAGCTAAAGTCAATAGTTTTTCAATATTGAAAAAGGAAATGATGTGGCGCTGCTACCTATGAATAAACCCTAAACCTGTAAAAAATAAACTCATAAACGCATGTATATATTCACAATAAAACAAATATAATGAATACACAAATAAAGTGATATTATAGTGCATGTGATAAATGTCAACTATATAAGTGAAAAAAGGAACATGCATAAGCTGATAATGATGCCTAAACGCAGTGTATATGCATGGAAAACAAACCACACAACACTCACACCAAATCTGGACTGAATGTCCAATTTTCACGTGATCGTGAGTAATCCAATGATAGGGCTACTATAGGTGCTCCAAATTTCTCAAAAAAATATACCCCCACATAAAGTATCAAAATGCATGTACATGTAACATATATACAAAATTAATCAACCCATTAAATCAATATGTGAAAAAACACATCACATTTTGTGCAAATACTCAATAAAACGATGAAAAACACAAATCAATATATCTACATGCATATAGTGCAAAAAATATATCTCATGCCGTGCAGAACATACATATATAGAGCACACCCTAATATAACAAAAAATGTCCAAGATGGGTGCAATACACATAAAATATGAAATCTTGTGAACTTGAGTGATCTGTGCAGATGGTGACAAGAGGGCATCCACTAATGGAAAAAATGTGCGCTCACCTCCGTGCGTCGACCCGTCAAGGATCACAACGCTATTAGGATCTCTATCACTGGATCCTTCATGTGTAAAGCTCCTCCATAACCGCGTCACTTTCTCCTGGATGACATCCCTCTTTCAGACTGGTGTATGTAATGGCAGACCTCTTTCCCGTAGTGTAGTAAGCAGGGGCGGACTGACAACTCATGGGGCCCCCGGGCAATAGGGGATCATGGGGCCCCTGTGTCCTTGTCCAAACTCAAAAAAGCCTATGAAAAAGGTACCAGGGGCATCTCATGGGGCCCCCTACTGACCCCGGGCCCTCAGGCAGTGCCCGAGTTTCCAAAAGGTCAGTCCGCCCCTGGTAGTAAGTATGGTTAGTAACTCTCATAGAATATAAGCAGAAGCTCCAAATAGTGTAATACTGCTTTTATTAATAAATGTAGGTAACAGTAAGATATGCACTCATGTGATCCTCCTTCTTGTGAACAGCATAAACAGATATTTCCCTTCACAATGGGTGTAGCTGAATGGGTGCACAAAAATGGCATCCGACCGGAAGTACGTCACTGAACACCTACGCGTTACGTCACATGTGTCTCGTGCCCAGTGGAAGTCACGAGACACACGTGACGTAATGCGTAGGCGTGTGGTGATATACTTCTGGTCGGACGCCATCTTTGTGCACCCATTCAGCTATACCCATTGTGAAGGGAAATATCTGTTTATGCTTTTCACAAGAAGGAGGATCACATGAGTGCATATCTTACTGTTACCTACATTTATTAATAAAAGCAGTATTACACTATTTGGAGCGTCTGCTTATATTCTGTGAGAGTTACTAACCATACTTACTACACTACGGGAAAGAGGTCTGCCATTACATATACCAGTCTGAAAGAGGGATGTCATCCAGGAGAAAGTGACGCGGTTATGGAGGAGCTTTACACATGAAGGATCCAGTGATAGAGATCTTAATAGCGTTGTGACCCTTGATGGGTCGACGCGGGGAGGTGAGCGCACGTTTTTTCCATTAGTGGATGCCTTCTTGTCACCATCTGCACAGATCACTCAAGTTCACAAGATTTCATATTTTATGTGTATTGCACCCATCTTGGACATTTTTTGTTATATTAGGGTGTGCTCTATATATGTATGTTCTGCACGGCATGAGATATATTTTTTGCACTATATGCATGTAGATACAGTATATTGATTTGTGTTTTTCATCGTTATATTGAGTATTTGCACGAAATGTGATGTGTTTTTTCACATATTGATTTAATGGGTTGATTAATTTTGTACATATGTTCCACGTTCATGCGTTTTGATACTTTATGTGGGGTATATTTTTTTGAGAAATTTGGAGCACCTATAGTAGCCCTATCATTGGATTACTCACGATCACGTGAAAATTGGACATTCAGTCCAGATTGGTGTGAGTGTTGTGTGGTTTGTTTTCTATGCACATACACTGCCTTAGGCATCATTATATCAGCTTATGCATGTTCCTTTTTTTACTTATATAGTTGGCATTTACCACATGCGCTATAATATCACTTTATTTGTGTATTCATTATATTTGTTTTATTGTGGATATTTACATGCGTTTATGAGTTTATTTTTTACAGGTTTAGGGTTTATTCATAGGTAGCAGCGCCACATCATTTCCTTTTTCATTATTTGATTTATCATCTGGTATATGATTGGATGTTGGCAGCTTCATTTGATATTCTTAGTATAGGCTTAGTAGCGCAGGAGGTTTACACTTTTTAATAGTTTTTCAATGCAGTTACGGTTTTGCTATGTGCACATTTGTTTTTGGATAACAAAACTAAAGTGTAAGTTCACCCTAGAATTTCCTACAAACATTAAACAACCATATACCACATGTATCCTGAAATTGCATAGCAGAAGCATGTTTAATATCTATCCATGCTGGTTGTCTAGCACTGATGGCTATTTATGAGTGACAGCCTGCAAATCATGATGGTGCTTGGGTCCCCCACCCCCCTAATGTGATCTGCAAGTTGTAATTGCAAAGCCTGACTGAAAAAATGCTTCCTATGAGCTGTGATGCTGTCAAAGATGTAGAAACTTAAGGGTAGCTGAATAACTTCCTGAGTTGCATGGTATCATTCATTAATGGCAGGCAGTTTCCAGTGGTGATTTGCTAGAAAGTTGGGGTACAGATAAATATCTAACAGGGTTCTATGCATTTATCAAAGTGCACGTGTTATATGGCTGTATAACTTTCATAAAGTATTTATAGGGTGAACTTACACTTTAAAGTTGAATTTACTGATACTACAGATATCTACAGTACATTATGAATGTTGGCTGTCCCTTCCAGTGACATTAGATTGTAAGTTCCTGGAAGGCAGGGTCTGATGTGAATGTGCAGTGTATATAAAGTGCTGCATACATTGTTAATACTATATACATGCTTGTAATAAAAATACAGTTTTGTATGGCCTAAAATTGGGTCAAAGTAATAGGAGAGTTGTTTGGCTCTTAAAGCTTGGGGCTTTGGATTCCTGAAGTATTTAACTAATTAATTTCAATAAATGTGGGGGAAAAAAAAGTTCTGGGGGGAAGAAATCCCAGTCTCATGACCTGTGATAGTCATGTGAATTGGTCTCTCCTCTTTCACAGCATTATACAGAGAATAATTTAAGGAATAATGCAGGTTTCACACACATAGAGTGGTATCTGCTGTCTGTTATAAATAGGTCCCTTATTCCTAATGCAACATTTGTCTTGACATAAGCATCCTGTGGTCCTCTGTACAACAGCAGTCCTGAGGGAAGGAGAGGAAGGACTCTAATCCAATCTGACTCTGCTTCAGTGCACCTATGCTAACAATGAATATGCTGACAGGAGGAGAGTATAGTGAGCAGAGGGATGATCTCAATAGGTCCATTCATTGTCCAATCAGCATGCTAGGGTTGTGTTCATGTTCAAGCAATGTTGTGGATGTAGGATTGTTGCCTGGCTATGCAGTGTGGCAGTAGTGCCTGGATAAAAAATAACTAAAAAATTACACATCATGTGTGGTTAAAACAGTCCTCATGTCTTTATATAATCTACATAATCGATGCATATTTAACTGATGCATATATGTGACTTTCACATTTTATTATTATTCACTTTTTCAGAAGCATGTATCCTATACACAGAATTTTGTGTTTCTCCCTATAGCATCTTTTTATATAGTAGACAATGCATTTAGCAACTTTGCTGAGTGATTGTTAAGATAAAATGTAAGGCTATCTAGAAAGTGTGCTGCTTTTGATTGGATTCATTAGACTGCTAAGCTATACTGAGAAAGAGGAACAGTAAAGAAAAGTCACTGCAGGACTACTAAGCAGAAAGTACAGACAGTTCATGTTATATGGCCTCCACGTAAACAGACATAATTTCAAACTATGATCAGAAAAAAAGTAAAAAAAAAAAGTAACAAGCCTTGATAAGTTTATTTGTATAAACTGATTAAATTCACATGCATATTTAAAAGATTTTTAAACTGCATTGGGTTTGTGCTTTTTAGTTGACTTATATACTTACCGCGCATCCATCATGCAGGGCTGTAATGAAGGGACTGTTGTCATATGATATTTCCTCATCATTTCGAGCCCAAAAACCGCAGGGCCCTGTCATAGTTGTTGCTAACAGCGTCATGCCAGGCCACTGACTGGTGACAGCTGTATGTAAAGTTCTGGCGAGCTGAGGCACTGAGAAGTCTTAGGAATGTCATCTGAACTTGATTAATGCTGTTACCCTCAACATCCACATAAGAAAGCTATAGAGAAAAAGGAAGAATGATGTTCATACTGATAATATGTAAGAACTTGCATGACAATCTTACAACTTTTTTTGGCATTGAAGTGTATGTAAAGGCAATTTTTATGTTTTGGATCAAGTGGAGAAGATTTAGACCCTCTGTCAAATTTGTAAAAAGTGTCCGTATCCATATTGGGAAAATATAAACTACTGTCATTGATACAAAATAAGGGGTAATAAAAAATATTAGACTTGTTACCAGATCAAGAGACATGGGTCATACACCAATGGGCGCAAATGCTCTGGTGACAGCTAAGATTGGAATTCCCTTCAGTTTAATGAGGATTCCTCCCACTTCCTGTTGCCTCTACAAGTGAGGTAGTAAATGAAAATTTCCCCAGTGGAACAGAGGCAGTACTGAATGACCCAAATACATACAGTAGATAAGGAATATTAAGGAGGTCATGAAAATCATAAGGATTAAGATTTGCTAAGAATTGGCATACCAGTTTTCCTCTCTTGAATTCACTGAACCAGGAGCCAGGGTTTTCTTTTGGCCAGGATGAAATTCGCACCTTATTTAATAGAGAGAGAGGAAATTATCAACTGAAGCTTCATTAAAAGAATCAGTATATGTAAGTTAGTGAGCGTAATCTGAAAAGTGACCAATGCACTAAAAGGAACCACAAAACCTTTCTGATAGAATCATAAGACAAGGAGTGCAGCGCTACATGAAATATTGAACCAAATAAACCTATAGCACAAAGATATAAGCAATAAAAATGAGTCCACTATGGTATCATAATCTGAATTCATCAGTCCACAATGAGATTTATGACACTGTAGGTATAATCTGGTTTTCTGTTGTGGTGATATGAATAGATTGCCTACTCACCAGAGACACAATGTTAATGCGCATATCTGGATCCAATGCATCCTGGGGTCCCGGATGAAGACAGCCTGGTGGTAGTATCCTCAGGTGGTCCCCCAAAGATGTGTGAGAAGGATACCGGTCTGGTCTCAAAGTGCTTACTCCTCAGGTCTGCAGCAATGCCTGAAATACTGGGGCTGAGGTGTGGAGGCTCAGTGCCAGGTATCTGCTCATGTGTACCAAGTTTTTGAGAGACCTGACGTTGTCCTAAATAGCAATACAATGACTAATTGAGTCACCAATCTAGCACTGCCCTGGCTGCAGCACAGCTCTCTTCTGTGCTGCAGCCAGGGCAGTGCTAGATTGGTGACTCAATTAGTCATTGTATTGCTATTTAGGGCAACGTCAGGTCTCTCAGAAACTTGGTACACATGAGCAGATACCTGGCACTGAGCCTCCACACCTCAGCCCCAGTATTTCAGGCATTGCTGCAGACCTGAGGAGTAAGCACTTTGAGACCAGACCGGTATCCTTCTCACACATCTTTGAGGGACCACCAGAGGATCCTACCACCAGGCTGTCTTCATCCGGGACCCCAGGATGCATTGGATCTAGATATGCGCATTAACATTGTGTCTCTGGTGAGTAGGCAATCTATCCATATCACCACAACAGAAAACCGGATTATACCTACAGTGTCAGAAATCTCATTGTGGACTGATGAATTCAGATTATGATACCATAGTGGACTCATTTTTATTGCTTATATCTTTGTGACATAGGTTTATTTGGTTCAATATTGCATGTAGCGCTGCACTCCTTGTCTTATGATTCATTAAAAGAATGCATATTTTTTCCATATACTTTCTGTATTCACATATTACATTTTGGAGTATAAATACATTTTTTTAATATTTTTCTTTTTAGTCAGGTAAACATAAAATGTGATATATACATATTTTGTATTTACCCTTTTACAGTCAGCAGGTGGAAACTGAAAGTTTAGTACCCCAAGGTTTCGGACTGTGAGATGACTACCAAGCTGGGATTACCTGTTTGCAGATTGTTGGTTTATGCACACAAATACTGTAAATTGGTTATATGACTCAAAGGAGGAACACACCCCCTCCTCCTCTCCCAGTGGAGACAGGGGCATCTTTATCTTCAGCCAGCCAGAGCAGTCAGCAAGTGCAGAACTATTTCTGGGCTCTCTTTTTAGACAGACTAGACTGCATTTCAGATGCACTTTGTATTCATCATTTGATTAAAGTTAAAGGGGCATCAGATGGACCTGAAAGTTTTTCAAATATACTGTAACCCAACAAACATCCATTTTGAAGCACAACAAACACAACAGATAACTAATTAGATCAGCAGAAAGTGATTTTGATAGAAATGTGTTGCTACTATCCATGGGTAGCTATATTAGAAAAATACTATTGTTTGCTCAATAAAATAGCTTTTCCTTTCTTTCTAATACTCTTCTGTGATTTTGAACTTCAAGTAGATTTTAAAATATACCCCTTTCTGTGCTGTATATGGAAACAAAGCACTATATTGGAGTCTCTACTTAAATATCCACCAAAGCAAAGCTTTTAGATAAACTAAAGACCAAACCTACTCTCCCACCCTGTGCTAAACCTACCATTCATGATGTTCCCTCACCACTGCCTCAATAAATATTTTGTTGATCAATGATAATAACAAGTGTTGTTGGTAATTAAACACTCTATGATCAACCCCTAATCCCACATGCGACAATGATGGAGCCTAATAACTGGTTGCTCAAGTGGCAATAGCTGCAATGTGGGGAAAAAAGGGAAATGTCTTGTGTTGTTTCCTTCCCCCACCCCCCCACCCCCCATATCCAGAATTATTGGGATTTTGAATAAGCAGCTATGGGGATCGCAATTCAGGAAGGGTGGCTATAAATGTAACTTCAGGCACCAGTGGGTGAGTACAGAATGGGATGCCAAATGTGGCTTTTAGTTTATGTTACAGTTTTGCTTTAATTGTCCAGTCCTCACTTTCTTATGTTCAGGATCCTTTGATTGATTTCTTTAGAACAAGAAATTATCTAAGGAAAACTCTGTGTTATTGTAACACTAAGAAGGTCATAATGCTAAAATAAGGAGAGTTTCACTTACTCCTTCTGACTTCTTGTCTGCATAGATACAGGTCTCCCCTCCAGCTGTGAAGTTGCAGTACACTTTGAATGAGTCTCCAGAGCAGCCCTGGTTTGGATCGATCCAATATTCACCTGGAGGGAAGAAGAGAAGGGCTTATTATAAATCAGAAAACATGAAGAAAGATTTAGCTTTTTTTGCTTTGATGCAAGTGAACTGAACTCTTACTTCGGGCTAATTCTTTAACCTCTTTTTTGTCCTTTGTATAAATAGGAGATTGCAAGCTGTGTGCACAGCTATTTATACAGTATTATATAGCAGTTGTCATGTTTGTACATATTTTTATCTTTTACATAAAAACTTTTATGCTCAAATTCATAGAAATTTAGTAATACCTGGGAGAGAACAGGTTAATCACCCTGATACTGCACTTGCTTTGCAACTCGCATAAATTGCATTTGTTATGTTTGTAGGCCGATTATAGCAGATGATGGAACAATGGCCCCCACGCTGCAGACTACATGTGATGAATTGCTCACATCATTGGGCATTACCGCTGAGAAAGCAGGAAACAAGATAAGCTGGGATTCAAAGACAGGCGCTGTATACATTATGCTGAACTTGGCTGGTCACTGCCAGGGACACAATTAAGGTATGCAAAATGTTTGATGTTTTTTTTTTGATAGATAGGGAAATAAAAACTCAACATGAATATTGTTAGATTTTGTTTATCTACAGAGCTGTTAGTTTGGTGTATGCTGTCGTAAGGATATTACAAAAATAATTTTAAATGGGCATGTTAAATGCTTTTTCAATGAAACCTACACCACTTTGACTATCCAAATATAAGAGCAAAATAAAATGTTTAAAAATGACTGAAAAATGTGTATTGTAGCGAAAATCTGGTCCAGGTTAAAACTAGGTCTTCTCTCTCTCTTTTTTTACATACCGTCAGGGAACTCTGGGTGAGATAGATGAAGATCTTTGCATGTTCTAGCAGGATTGTTTTGGGATCCTTCTGGATATTTCATGCGCTCAATGTCTTGTTTCAGAGAATTTAGGGAAACAAAGATCTCATCCATTCCATCATAATCCAAAATATTGTCTGCTGCATCTGCCACCATGCCATCAGGGGATCTTCGGGTCTTCTTTGGTGATTGGATAGGCAGTGGTTGGATGACCTCTCCTGGTGGTCCCTATAAAATTTAATATTTAAGTGGTTAGCACTTCCACCTGGCAGCACTGGGGTCATCAGTTCAAATCCCAACCATGTCATTATCTGCCTGGAGTTTACATATTCTCCCTGTGTCCGAGTGGGTTTCCCCCTCCCCCCACACTCTATAGATATGCTGGTAGGTTAGTTGGTTCCTGACTAAATTGGCCCTAGTATGTGTATGTATGAATGTGAGTTAGGGACCTTAGATTGTAAGCTCCATGAGGGCAGCGACTGATGTGAATGTACAATATATATGTAAAGCGATGTGCAAATTGGTGCTATATAAATACCTGTATTAAATAAATTCAGGTATGAGAGCATTTTAATAATGAAAGTATTGTTTTCTAATCATATTAATGGTTCTATATATTTACACTATTATTATTATACAGCAATAATAGGACTAATAGACTAATAGTATTGGCTACAAATATGTTCTCTCTTATTCATATTGCTATAAGCGTGAATTAAGCTAGAAACATCTATCAATCTCATCATCAAGAATTTAATGAATAGTTAAAATTCTTTATTATCAAGCATAATATAATGTTAAATGTAGTGAAAAAAAAATCTTAAGGCTTAAAAAGATACTTACTGGTGGTCCAGGAGGTCCAGGCATACCACCATCTCCCTTCTGACCTGCAGGACCCTGTGGGTGATATACAATGCAAAATTGCAGTCAGAAAAGACTAAGATAAAAGTATATGTCCATAGTTAAACTCCTAGGGGCTGTTTGATGTGTTATTTAAGATCACAGTTATTCATTATGGAAATTTACTGTGTTCAGCAAGAAGTAGAAGTAGAATGTGAACAGAGAAAACACAATACATATTGCCTAAAATGAAAGGCCTTCATAGGAAAAATGTAAGTGCACTAAGTTATTGAGCTAGTATTTCAGATACACAGTAAAACAATATACTTACACTTGAACCCTTTGAACCTTTTGGACCTTGAGGACCCTATGGACAAAATACAAATAATAATTATTTGTAGTATATATACACAATGTGTTTGTTTGCAAGTTTGCAGTTTGAAGATGTTTCTAGGAACTTGTCTTAATGACTACCACAGCCATTTCAAGGCTAATTAAACAGCAAATAGTACTTGAAGTCTTCAGTTGCTGATGATGTTAAATTTGTACATTACCACAAAATATTGATGGATTATTGAATATATCTACTATTGTTTTTGAAAGATTGTAGATGTATTGGTACTCTTTAAACTTGGAAGCTGTTTAGTAGTTAAAGGCATGTTTGTTTGACAATGTGATGATTTTTCTACATTGCAGAGAAAGATTTAGCCAGAGTGGGGCCCTAGCAATAAGGCAGCTTTGGCTGCCCATGATTTCTATTGAAATTGGTAAGAATTAAAATAAGCACAGAGAAGCCACACCATTTGCATTTTCTGTACTGCCATAACCCCATCTTACACCAACTGCCTACAAGAGCGACTTCCCTTGTGAGGTGACAGGCAGGTGCATGGCTTTGACCAGTGGAGTTACCCCCTTTTTTACTGCAGGAGCATGGTGGTTGCAAAGAGTCCCCTGGATATCCAGCGGGCTCTAGGCTATTGTCTAAGTTGCCTTGTGGATGATCCAACTGTGCTATACTGTGAGTGCAGATGTAAGACAGGTAAATAATTTATAGCTTATGCTTTGCTATAAAAAAACAGTTCTACAAAATGCAGATTAAAGATTTGTAAAATACTTACAGGTAACCCAGGAGGGCCCAGGAGGACCATTTGGACCAGCAGGACCACTAACACCCTGATTGAGATAAATATATTATTAGCAAAATTATGAAACTAGTATATAACTAAGCAACGCTAAACGTAGTGTAAGATACAGTATAAAATCTGATGGCTTTGAAATTAAAATACTGCAATATACAGTACCAATTGCACATGGTAGAGTATTGCGGAAAATACATTGCTTAAAGTTTAGTTTAAGACTCACACAAATATCTTGAGAGGGATTTATTGAGACAATTTGCACACTTACTCCATCACCCTTGGATCCAGGAGTCCCCTGTGGACCTGGAAGTCCTCTGTCTCCCTTCTCACCCTGTTCTCCAGGAGGACCTATCAGACCAATCAAACCAGGATGTCCCTGGACAAATAAAAATTGAAGATTTAATGCAAAAACTATGTGACACACATATCTAATCATCAGTATTTTTAAAGTGTGCATTGTCATGTACAGTTGCAATCCAAACTACACACATACTTCATTTCATACTAGATCCTTACTTGCTGCAATCAAGGCTAAACTAGATGAATTTGTTTTTGATGTATGCAAATGTATCTTGTGAGATTTGGGTTACTAATTGTTCCCCAGGAATCTTGCCAGAGGATGATGACATTATTCCCTACAGTGCAAATGATGGTGGCTAGGTAGGTATTTCTTTTTGTACTACCATCATATAGTGTTTTAAAAGGGGGGAGGGGCTCCTAAGATAATAACCTGACCTCTACGTTTATGTATGAAACAAATGTTTTCAATACCTGTGTGCCTTCCCCTATGCACACAGCTACTACACTTGTAACAATTCTCCACTATGAGTATTCCACAATCTCATTCAATCCCTCCTCCCTAAAGTTACACTTCTATACATATAAACTTTATAAAAAGGATAATCTTATACAGTTACCAGAACAAAAGGGGGTGGGTTAGTGTCCCTATTAGAGACACAGAAGACAGTCAAAACCTGACAGATGTACTAAACATTTCCAATTATATCCAAAAAGAAAAGAAAATGTTTCTCATCCTCAATCCTAAATTAAGCGCATTTGAAACTTTAAAGATACAGAACAATGGGCAATTCTTTTTTTTTACAGTATTATCATATGCAATTGCAATATAGAAAATACTTTTCAGCATTTAAATATGTGTTTTATAAAGCTTGACGTTAGATAACAGTTGCCTGATTCGGCTATTTTTTTCATTCAGATTGAGCCACAATATTATCTCGGACCGCTGTCAAGGGAACATCACTTCCATTTCTGATTGCTACAGTTCTCTCCATATCAATCACTCAGGTGTATGTATATTTCCCTAAATATTCATGTATATAAAGGTATCACAGCTATAGGCAACTTCATCTAAAGAAGTCCATCCTTAAACTCAATAATAGCAAAATAATTGTGTTTCTTACCTTTTCGCCTTTGGTGCCGGGGGTCGCCTTTCAGACCTGGAAGTCCAGGTGGTCCCTGAAATAGTAGTATATATTTTAACAAAACTGCCCTATAGTTTAAAAAAAATGCAAAGTGAATGTAAGTGATTGTCAAAATTGCTCCCCAAAAACATGTCTTTTGGAGTATAAAGGCAAATAAATGTTTTAAGCCCACAAATGTCTTATTTATGGTCATAAAATACAGAAGGATATTGAAGAGCGAATTTTGTAATGGTGGAATACCACATTTTTAATGGTCATGTGACTAGTAAAACCCCCTTACCTGTCCCTTCAATAATACAGTAAATAAATAGCTCCCATTTCTAAATAACAGGTGATGCTTAAGGTTAGGAAAGGTCTTCAATATAACTTACTATTGGGCCTGGAGGTCCATCCTGACCGGAAGCACCTGGAAGACCTTGTTCACCCTGAAAGTAAAATAAAGACAAATTAAGATCATTCATTATTTAGCGCTAGAAACAAGAAAAAAGTAGAATTCATCGCAAATGAAAGAGCAAAGTTTTTTAAAAAAAAAGTATTTTAAAGGGTCAGTTAATTTAAACCATTTTTAGATATTTAAGACTTTTTAGGCTATTTTCAACTTTGGAAATGCTGGAGGGTAAAACCAAACATTTTCTAATACCTCTTTGGGACCCAAATGGTAAGACCTGGTTAATTGCAAAGGGGTCTTATTTTACTGGATATTTGATTCTAACAATAATTGATTTTACATTATGCAAAATGGGAAGAATTGGAATGCTTGACATGGTTTAAAGTCACATTTTTTTTCTTAAAATAAAAAAACCATGTGATGCTTACCTGCTCTGTATTGGTATTCCACAAACAGGTCCCTTACCTATTCTTCTGGAGTCCCCCCGCTGGTCCACTCCCTCTCTTTTCCAAGTGCCCCTCAGCAAGCTTTGTGCTGAGGGGGGGGACCTGTGAAAGTGCATCTATAGACACACAGAGTGGCTTGGCCACATCCCCCACTCCCTTCTCACAGGATTTGACTGACAGCAGCAGAAGATTGGAAAACGACTCAAGTGTTTTTTTTGGGGGGATCAAGAAATGCATTAAGATTAAAAATGTTTTGACTTTAGAACCACTTTAATCCCTAGATTGGCCGGCTACAAAGCCAGGAACTAAAGCAGGTTTAGTTTATTGCCAAAGTTCCAAAGATATAAAATACCAATGGCTCATTTAGTTTACAAGAAAACAGCTATATCAAATTGACTTTTGTTGCTAGTTAACAAAACACCAGGTCAAAAAAATGCAGCTTACCACAGGTCCTGGAATTCCTCTCAAACCTTCAGGTCCCGGTTTTCCTGCAGGGCCTTGAGGTCCAACAGGTCCTGTCTTTCCAGAAGGTCCTTCTGCTCCAGGCTCACCCTAAAACACACCAAAAAGAACATATTGCAACACCACAAAGCGTTTGGTGAGAAAGAAGGTAAGCTTGCTCAGTATCTGAAAATCATTACCTTTGCTCCTTTCTCTCCTTGTCTTCCTCTGCACCATGAGCTCCAGGAGGACCCTAGAAAATAATTTAGATGTATAAAATAATCTTTTTGAAACTATATATAAATCCCTAGTATAGCTTACAGAAGATTAAGTACTATTTTGTAGAATGCTTACTTTAAGGTTTTAAAGATTAAACACCACCCAATTAAAATGGAGAGGTATAACCATATGTAATATAAGTATATGTAAACTTTTGTTATATGTGATTTTTTTGTTGGGAACCAACACTTTAATGCTTTCTTACCATTATTATGATCATTTGTTTTTCAACAGTTTTTATACTGATATTGATATTCAATGAGTTGTGTTTTGACATTCAAATAGGTCCCCCACCACTGAAACTGTATGGAAACTATTGTTTGGTATAAAATAAGTCATTTTATAGATATGCTATATAATATATATAACTCATACATGACACAAACAGGTGCCCATATTTTTAAATAAACTCCCTTATCATGGGTCTTGTCGGTGTGGGGTTTGTATTAGGTGATATTGTGGGTGTACATGATTCTGCCCAGATCGTAAATAATGACAATACTGCCCACGACACCACAGCAAACATGACTATTGCAGTTTTCTTATATATCTGAATCAGTAAAACCCACCAATGATTTATTAACATCTTGACAATTTACCATGTGATACCTTCTGTAAATTAACCCCCCACTTTCCTTATTGAAGCAAGACTATTGAGAAATATGCATCCATACATTCAAAAGTGTAAATTGTTATATAATCAGAAAATAGTATGAGCTATTACGTGCATGTATATGGACATAGATAAAACTCATGGTACCAACAAGCACATATACATTGGAGAATATGTAGAAGATTATATATGTGTGTATGTCTGACCCTCCAGAGAAATTTAAGGCTTAGTTATTGCCAGTAATTATTCCCTACCTATGTGCTCTATTGCTTGTACAAAGCATAGTTGAATCAATATTCTATTACACTCCACAATAATTATTCATCTATATGAACTCTTCGACCTATAGGTGTTTAAATCTTTCCCAAGTTGAGTAGACTGTTTATTTGCATTACATTTTATATCATGGTTTATTATTGTAGACACACATTATTATAGGTGTTCCTTTTTGTACATCATGTAACAGAAAAAATATGAGCACATATGACAAGTCAAGACAGTCTTCAGGCAAAAAGACGATACTTATAAGGACAATATAAAATTAATACTTACTCTCTTGCCAGGAGGACCAGGTGGACCAGCTTCTCCAGATGGACCAGGAGGACCCTGTAAAAAGTAAACACATTTCTTTTTTTCTGAAAAAATGTTTGCAACCTAAAGCTGGTTTGAGTTGACAATTAACATTGATAGGATCTCTGTTTTAAAGAATGTTTAGAGTGGTCAAGCTTGTTATGCAGTTTATTGCAGCAATAGATTTCCTCCAGACTAGGTTCATCCAAATATTTCCCAGTTATAGAAATAGAAATAATTTATTTAATAGCTGCTCACCAGTAAAACACATATCCTGATAAAATCTGAACATATTGCTATGCTTTTATTAACTATAGTATAATTGACACAGAAAAAAAAATATTATGTAAGTAAAAGCTCAGATGATTTTTTTATTTTACAAGGTCAAACATTTGTGTTTTTATGTATCTGCAAAACAGTTAACGACTTGTTTTTGTATTGTATAGGGATTTGGAAAGGCACTTTTTACTTAGCCAAATCTGCAGGCTTCCTTCTGCTAGGCCAGTCCCCACAGCCTCATTTGACATGGCCAATGCAGGGTCCATAGCCCTGCACTGGACATCAGGATGTCGAGGGACTGTCCACCGCTGGAGCATGGGGGAGTGCCTTCTGGTGTAGAAGCAGATGATAGCATAGGTAAATGCTTTTACCATCCCTTGGGCATAAATGAGCAGTTAAACCTTGCATTGTGGGGCAGTCCTACTGGTGGGAAGGAGTTTTAGTTTTGTGAGTTTAAAAATAAGTTACAAATAGCTCTTTCACCAAACACAGGTTTGTAGCCTTACAGCAGCCTTACCGACTTCTAAAATATTTTGCATAAAAAAAAAAAAACTAACAATAATTGCAGTTTCTTAAGCCCATCCTAACATATAACAACCCCTTATTAGTGATTTAAGGTGGCCATAAAAATGATTTAAATCAAAGGTAAGTGAAAAAGTGTAACAAAAACATGACCAGACCAATTCTAAGCTACACCAAATTTAAAATGGATGTGCTAATTTATGCATTATGCAATTTTGTATTAATGCTGTTTGCCAAATGTGACAATAATGTATTCTTTTTTGTCATCCTTGGTAATTCTAGAAATAAAGTGTGATCAATTATACACAGCTCCTTTAGTTTTTACCTCTGTTGGGCACAAAGTTCAGAATTAGAATTGATACAATTTGATACAGATTACATTATAAGAACTGATCTTTAGTTCCTTTCCCTTTCAGTGAATAACATGGCATGGGTCATCTTGCCATGAATACAAAGTGTGATATCATACCGATAAGATTATAACATGTTGAAGATATCTGAAGCTATAATTGTTCAACTCAGACATGGCATTCACTTAATCAAACATATAACATTTTGTCTTTCTTGCATTATTTAAATGCTATGAAATGATGATATTCTGTATATTTTTTGTGATCACATCACTAAGTCTAGTTATATTATGCCATTGGTTTCTAAACTATTGAGACAAAAATGCCATGCCATCATTAGACCAATGACTCATAGCTAAAACCTCTGTCACGTATTAAATAGATATTTATTTGATGGGGATTACTTTGTAGTGCTAAACATAAAATAATTTACAAATCCTAAACCCAAAAGCCCACAGAAGAAAACATTTTCTGAGCAGAAAGTTATAGCACTACAGGAAATAAAGACAAGAATCATAAACCGCAACAGTTAACAAGAACAATACTTACGGGTTGACCTGGTTCCCCATCTTCACCCTTGTCACCAGAAAGGCCATCTGCACCCTTTAGATAACATAAAACATGTTAAAGCAAAATAAATGATGAATAGTAACCCACAGAATTTGTTCAGACATTGTCTTCAGTTTAGTAAATTAGGATAATGTAGGACGTTGGCTAATTTGCCGCTATGGCACATTGCTTTTTGCCTTATCCATAGCGGATCCATTAGTCCATTATGCATGTTTTACTGTACATCTTTATACATTAGCTTGTAGTAAATACTTTGTTATAGAGCGCAATGAAATTCTATGGACAGTTTATCATACTTTATATTAATAGATGACTGAATTTGTAAAAACCTGTTATGCCAACAGTCTGCTGAATCTGGCCATATTATCCATTATTCAGGTTGAGATATTCAAGATATTTTTAAGGTTAATTTATTCAAGTAAATGTAAAATGTTACATTTAAATTTTTCCTAATTACTAACCAACAGGTGGAATTCTGTGAGAGATTTTTTTACAGCTCTTGTGCTAAATGTATTAAGAAGCGGAAATTAAATGAGCAGAGCAAATTGAATCTTGGTTTAAGTAGTACACAATATACAACTTAGGGATACATTTAAAGGTACATAGACAGGTAACATATTGTTGATAAAAGACAGCTAGTGTACTTGAATTACAAGTCTCTTGTGTTTGCTTGGTATTCATTTATGTATGTAGGATATACAGATGTTCTAATGTGAGTCAAAACTATAAAGAATCAGCAAAATACTGGTTTGTACTAATATAATTATATGGCAGTTATAGACTGCTATGTAATAAAAAATATTTTGGCATGAGTTTCACTCTATTACACCCATCATCAATTGTAAAATATGTTTATAATCTAAGCATTAGAAATCAGTAAAATACATTTTTATATACAGTCCAATCACTTACACTTGGGCCAGGCTCTCCAGGAGGACCAGGATCTCCAGGGAATCCAACAGGACCCTATTATGAGGAATTAAATGAAGAATTTAGGCATGATACATCTAATATTGTATATATTAAAATAAAGCAAGGAAAATATAGTGCTTTTATACATATTTTCCTTTATGTATTATGGTCAAGGCTAAGAAATCCTTTTTTTCGAGTACTTTTTTAAGTTACAATTAAATGTTGCATATACATGGTATACAGTTACCTGTCCATTCAGCAGATGGAGCTCTAGTCCTCTAATTTAAACAGTTAGCTATTTCAGTTTTCAACTTTGCTAAAAGAAACCTGTTGTTCACTGAATTCAACAACTGAAGCTCAACACACATAATGATGATTTATTCCTTCCTAGATGTATTATACAGAGCTATCATTGAAAAATACCATGTTTAAATGTTTAGTTCTTTTAAAAAAAATCCTTTAAATGCTTTTCTTACAGGATTTCCTTTAGGTCCATCATCTCCTGGTGGGCCTTTAGGGCCAGCTGGTCCAGCTGCTCCGGGTGGTCCTGCTTCTCCTTTCTCTCCTCTTTCACCTTTAGGACCCTACAAAAGAATCATATATACAGATTATAGATGATATGGTGTTAGATTAAGACCTCTGAAGCCAAAAACAGATTAAGCCTTTTAACAATTTTCACAAAGCAACTAAAACCTTATTATCTCTATTGTTATTATTGTGAAAAATCTAAAGTTTTAAAAGACTTGTACAGTCTTTATTTCATGAGTCTATGTCAGTCCTCAAATCCCCAGGCAAATTTCTCTTTCACTCTGCTCTATGCTTGCAAAACAGTTCTTAAGATGTCAGACAGGAAAGTTAAATAGCCAATATGCTTAAGTAAAGGCAGACAAGATCACAAGATATCAGTAAATTAGCTAGTTACATTAAGAAGAATGAATTTTACTTCTGGTGTTATAACAAGGTGAGGTTTTAATTACTGATATGATTCCACCACTATAATGAATTCTTCGGAAGTAGAGCAGTAGGTAAAAATAATTGGGTTTTATAGCAAATTTTGTAGTCCTGTTAATTATCGCAAATGACAAAAACTAAAGCAGAATGCTGTGTACAATAGTCCTTCATCTAAAAATAAGGTGCACAATGTTTACAAAGCTCTTAATGGAAAAGGAGAGTTATTGATCCCACTAGGTGATATGTTTAGCAATACTCCCAAGTGAAGGGAGCACTAGCCATAAAGTAACAGAAACAAAGTGCAATTTAATATTTTAGATTACAGGGTTACCAAAGCTGATTAACGTGGGGCCCATTCAGAACAAGTTTGTTAGGTTTTTTGGGCTGCGATTGCTCATGCAGGCCTAATGCAATAACAATCCAAAATCTGGGTTCCTAAAAGGAAAATTCATGTTATTGTTGGGGATTCAACTGTATGAGATGTTTTGTAGAAACTGGTGAGGAAGAGTTGAAAGGAGTTAAGTACTTCCCTGGTGCTACCATCAGAAGAATTTTACCAATATTCATGAAAGCTAGTCAAGAGTGTAATGTTGTTGAGCATCTTAGCACCAATGACTTTTCTGTGCATGCCATACATTTTTGTTTGGTTTCATTTCGTATGCATTCGTTCATTGAAGAATTTTATTTTGTTATATTTTTTATGTTAAACTGATTCATTTTTGGAATTCATTTCCTTATATTCAGCATTTGTTTTGTATATTCATTGGTCCGGGTGGATTAAAAAAAAATGTTTGCTGTTTTTTCTAAAGATTGCTTTTTTCAAATCAATTGGCATTTGTTACTATGTCCATTTGGAGATTTGTATACATCTGAATCTCTGAAATCACATTTTCGGCTGAAAGTCAACTTGAAACAAAATGAAACATACATGCCTACTGTATTCCGCACAGCAGGACTTTCAGAATCTTTGCAAAATAGGCTGTACCATTTCATGGGTCTTACTTGTCTATTTTCACAAAAAAAGGAAAATATTTCCTTTGCAGAGCTCAATATGTGATTAGAAGAATAGTGTAAAGCTAAATGTTTTGATCATGATGCTAGCGGTGATCTGATATTGATCTACACAAAAAAAATGGTGTGCTTCCCTCACTCAGGAATACTCAGCTACTTAGGTTGAAATTCAAGAGTTTTTTTTGGACATGCAAAATTGAGCAGAGATTTAATTAATAAGGAACATTTCTGTCATTAACAGGACATATGAGGATTTGGTTGATGGTGTGATTAATGCAGTTAGAGATTCGGGTGCTAAACTCCTGCAAAAGCTTCCTGAGTTGACAGCTCTTATGTTCAGGGACAACATGGACATTGTTGTGAAAAAAGTGAGTCTAGTAGCACAATTTCTTTCTTTAATACTGTGTCTGAGCCATTTGAGGAGATACATCCAATACAAACTTATGGAAGAAGGGGTTTAAGTGTGATTCATGTCATCAATGAATTTATGAGAACCTCTGCTTGAGAAAACCCTGTGGGGAAAGAGCTACTAGAATTACTTATTATTAAGGAGTCAGTAGTGTTCAGTGATGTACCTCTATACATAAATTACTTTTGTTCACAAGGGTGAATATTTTTGAAGATGTGTGGAAGAACTGTGGAATGGACTGACAGTAGTTTTTTAAAGACATTTTTATGACTTTTTTATTTTAACTTATTAAATTGGTACAAGTCACTTTAGTGGGTTATTTTCACGTATAATTTGATACAGGTCACTTTGGGATGTTATATAGTTAGTATTATATACATTTATTTTCTAGCAGCTGTTATTTTAGGTAGCTGGAGATTTCACTTAGTGTGTTGAGGAGCCCAAGGTTTACAAATAATCACTTGAATTTAAAAGTAGCAGCACAACACACTGAAACAATTACAGTGTGTCACGGCATGCTGCAAAAATGTGTTAAAACACACATGTTAACATGAGTCAACTTAGATGCATTAAGCGTGCGTCAACACATGCAACAGAAGCGGGGTAAATCCAGCCTAAAAGAGTATCACTAAGCAGAATGAATGTTTATTTTTTAAGGTAAATGCCAGTAAATAAAGTGAACCTGTGTTTGTACTGAATAATTATTAAAAAAAGGATTTTTGCTAGCACACGGTTTGTTGATTGCATTAAACAATTAAACACAGTGAGGGAGATTTACTAAAACGGGTGCATTCAGAATCTGGTGTGGCTGTGTATAGTAGCCAATCAGCTTGTAACTTTGTTTTTTTCAATTACAGCTTTGACAAGAAAAGCTGGAAGCTGATTGTTTCCTATGCAGAGCTGCACCTGATTTTGCACCATGCAGATTTAGTAAATAACCCCCAGTGTAACATTATTTACTAAGCTCAGTGAATATTCACATTGCTAAATGAGCAGTCTCTACTCTTCAATAAATCAAACCCACTGTTTCTATATTACATGGGTACATACCAATATGTCTTATATTGTAGGAACCAAACAAACAAAAACTGATAAGTTTGCAGCAAAATAAGACTACTAAATAGTACCATAATATTTTGGATAAATGTTAAAAAAATGCAAATTATACTTTTCAAAGAGAAGTAAGTAATGTTTAGGACTTACTGAAACACCAGCTTCTCCAGGGGTCCTGGGTTTCCAGCCTCTCCAGGCTCACCCTAAAATGATAGCAACAAAACGATAAATTATTACCACAAGCTGCACTATAAATCAAATTGTTAGCAGGATACATATATAACTTCATTTGTTTCAATGTTCAGAAATTAAAAATAAATTAATTAACTAATCATAAACACAATGTGCAACATAAATCCTGTTCAATTTTATCTTTTAAACAATATACTAATAATGCCCATTCAACAAGAAATATATTCCTCTCTTGACGTTTTCAGAGTTTAATATGCAAGCAGTGTTTCAGCACTCTTCCAAATTATGTGCAGTAACATTGTTTCACTATCCACGTTTCATAGACCAAACTTCACTTGTTCTAGTTACCTCTCTATTATGGAAAGGTAGATCAAGCTTATTATTCCTCCAGATCTAATCCATTTTCAAGTGTTTCATCTGAAAAGGCTAATATCATCTATTCAAGTTTGACAACCTGCTTCCCATAGCCAGTGTACTGGCTTCCTTCCAAAATGTGTACAGTGATATCCTTTCACCATCTACTCCTTTTGGACATAAACTCACCATTTCTAAACTACTTGAGTCTCTGGCTTTTTTTTTTATCATTCTCATTTGGCAATATCTTGGTTCCACACATTATACCTCTTAGCATGTGCAATGCCCTAACATATTATACATTTTTTTTCGGGGGGTACAGATACATTTGTAATCACAAAACATTAAAACGAAAATGCATTCACATGAGCATTTGATGAGACCTCCCCATGCAGCTGTGTAGAAACAGATCACTTTCCTTTCACAATGATCAGTTTTTGATGCGCTTTTGGTGTTAAAAAAACAGAACAAAAATGTATGAAAAATGTATCCTATGGAACTCTTCACACCAATGTCTGCTGGTGTGGTAAATTTTCAAAAGTTCAGCATGCTGCATTTTTAAAAAACACTCCAAAAACAAGCCTCCCCATTAAAATGAATGGAAAAATGCCTCAAAGATGCATCGTGGTTCAGTACAGATCAGTACAATAATAGATAGGAATTAAAGCAGAACTCCAGGCAGAGCATTTTTTAATATATCCATAAGGTAACCTGGATTCCCAGCATCAGAAAACCAGTGCGGACCTATGCTTGTGTTCATACGCGTGTGCACTAGCTGCCCACTGGCCTATTTAATCTGGTCTGTCACTATGAGCAGTTGCTGAATGGTCTTCAGCTTGTTCATGTGTTTCTGAGACCCAGTTCACTGTACCTGCTTACCTGTGTATGACCTGGATTGCCATTGGACTTTGCTTTTGCTTTTGCCTCAACCCTGTTCATCTGATTACTTTGACCCCAACCTGTTTACTGGATTTGTCTGTTCCTGCTGATTCTGTACTGCTTTGCCTGGCTGTTACTAACCTTAGTCTGCCTCCTGAACTTATCTATCTGCCAATTTTGTCCCTCGCTGCCCAACTGTTGCTAACTGCTTCCTGTCTCTTGGCCCTGTTTCTGTCTTCTGCTCTGGTTCTAAATTTCTCCTGTATCCTGTCCTGAGGACTGTGTCTACCAGCTCTACCCACCTAAAGATCAGAGATTGCCAGCCTGATCCACCGGCGCTAACGCTACTCCATGCCTTTACATTCTCTGTCTCCACCTTCAGGAGTGTTGGGCAGGATGTGTAAGACAGGACTCCACAACATTCCATTTTTAACAAGATACGTGATAATATCTATTGTACACCTACTGTTGCTATGAAAGCTGCAGCTTACTCTAGTGTCTTATCTCAGAACATCTAGAATCATCAACGCTCTGTGAATTGACAAAGGAAGAGGAGGGGTGGATAACAAGCACCAGAGCAAGCCCGAGTTCTCGAAGAAGAAGCAGTCCAGAAGTACAGTTGTGTTCAAAATAATAGCAGTGTGTTGAAAAAAGTGAATAAAGCTCAAAATCCTTCTAATAGCTTTTATTTCCATACACACAAATGCATTGGGAACACTACACATTCTATTCCAAATCAAAACATGAAGAAAAATATATAAAATTTGTGTTGTTCCTCTAAAAAAAAAATTGAAGAAAAGTGAATTTTAGTCTGTTCAAAAAAATAGCAGTGTTTGTATTCTTCTTTACAAACTCAAACATTCACTATATAAACTGAAAAATGTTTGAAGATTTTGCTTTCCTTTAAATCACTTAATTAATATTTAGTTGTATAACCACTGTTTCTGAGAACTGCTGTACATCTGTGTTGCATGGAGTCAACCAACTTTTGGCACCTGTGAACAGGTATTCCAGCCCAGGACGATTGGACTACATTCCACAGTTCCTCCCTATTTCTTGGTTTTGCCTCAGAAACTGCATTTTTTGATGTCACCCCCACAAGTTTTCTATTGGATTAAGATCCGGGGATTGGGCTGGCCACTCCATAACGTCAATCTTGTTGGTCTGGAACCAAGATGTTGCACGTTTACTGGTGTGTTTGGGGTTGTTGTCTTGTTGGAACACCCATTTCAAGGGCATTTCCTCTTCAGCATAAGGCAGCATGACCTCTTCAAGTATTCTGATGTATTCAAACTGATCCATGATCCCTGGTATGCGATAAATAGGCCCAACACCGTAGTATGAGAAACATCCCCATATCATGATGCTTGTGCTACCATGCTTCACTGTCTTCACAGTGCACTGTGGCTTGAATTCAGTGTTTGGGGGTCGTCTGACAAACTGTCTCTGGCCACTAGACCCAAAAAGAACAATCTTACTTTCATCAGTCCACAAAATGTTGCGCCATTTCTCTTTAGGCCAGTCAATGTGCTCTTTGGCAAATTGTAACGTCTTCAGCACGTCTTTTTTTCAACAGTGGGACTTTGCGGGGGCTTCTTGCAGATAGCTTGGCTTCACATAGGTGTCTTCTAATTGTAACAGTACTCACAGGTAACTTTAGACCTTCTTTGATCTTCCTGGAGCTGATTGTTGGCTGAGTCCTTGCCATTTTGGCTATTCTTCTATCCATTTGAATGGTAGTTTTTCGCTTTCTTCCATGTCTTTCAGGTTTTGGTTGCCATTTTAAAGCATTTGTGATCATTTTAGCTGACCAGCCTATCATTTTCTGCACTTCTTTATATGTTTTCCCCTCTCCAATCAACTTTTTAATCAAGGTATGCTGTTCTTCTGAACAATGTCGGGAACGACCCATTTTCCTCAGAATTTCAGAGAGAAATGCACTGTAACCAGCATGTACAACATTTGCTGCCTTCCTTCCTTAAATAAGGGCAATAATTGCCACCTTTTTTTCAAAGAATGAATGACCTCACTAATAGAACTCCACACTGCTATTATTTTGAACATGCCCCTTTCAATTAGTGATTCAATTACACAGAATCAGCAGCATGCATGTCATGACTGTTGGGTCTGTTTGATTTCTATTACTCTACTACACCTGCTAGTAAATTATTTGCCATGTAGAAATATCATTTCTACCAAAAACAGTGATTGATCAGGTTAGTGATGTCTGACTGCTATTATTTTGAACACAACTGTACATGGACACACGTGATATCTGGCCTGATTGAAAGTATGAATTTTACTTTTCAGAGCAGCAATCCAGACCTGGAAATAACAGTGGTAAGTCATTTTACACAGCAGATATGTTAAAAACTCTCTACCTGCAGTTTCAGTTGAAGTACAAGGCTCCATTTACTTCCGTTCACTTTTGTGTTGTATTACTTATTAATGCTGTTCAGTAATCAACGTTTGTGATTGAGAAACAGCTCTTATTGGCTGTGCTAACCGCTTTTTTTTTAAAGCTTAAGTTAGGTATATTTTTTTTTTTATCAGTACAAGGGACAGTACTTACACTTAATACGAAGTGTTCCTTGTGCTGATGCCAGATCTCATTGTTGAAATCCAAAGTTCTCGGCATCCCCTCTTACCCCCACAGCCATACTTCTATGGGAGGTAATATCAGTACTGGACCTTTTACAGGCATTACTCAAGAATGCTATGTCTGCCCTTTTCGACCCATTCTCCATTTATAGAAGCTGTGCTTTAAAGTGATATTAAAGGTTTGTTTAAAAAAAAAAACAATAAAAACAAACGTGTCATACTTACCTGTTCTGTGCAATGGTTTTACACAAAGCAGCTCCGATCCTCTTATTCTCGAGCCCCCCTCTGGTACTTTGGCTCCTTCCCCTTGACCAGTGCCCCCTTGCTATGAGGGCCACTGGTGCATACTTGCTCCCGAGCACCATTCTGCGTGTCCATAAGACACATTAAGCCCTACTCAGGACACAGCTTGGCCCCACTCCTTGCTTTCTCTTCATTGGCTCACTGGCTGTGATTGACAGCAGTGGGAGCCAATGGCTCCCGCTGATATGTCTCAGCCAATGAGGAGAGAGAGACCCAGAACAGCCGGGGCTCCCGTGCACATTGCTGGATTGAGAGGGGGACTCAGGTGAGTATTAGAGGGGGCTGTGGGGGAAGTAGTACACAAGGTTTTTTAACCTTCATACATAGAATTCAGGATGGTAAAAAACCTTCATACTTTACAACCACTTTAACTTCCATGACTGTAAACCACTTTATGAATGAAGGAGGCAGAACTTTCATTCATCCACCCATCTTCCATTCATAAAGCCCTTTTCAATCATGGAAGCTATAGTACAGCTTCTATGAATGGGAGGGGGGAAGGGGTGCGCATTGTCTGCACTATCAACGAATGCCTGTGACAGATCCAGTGCTAATATTAAATCCAGAGCACTGGAGGTTAGAGCTGCAAGGGAATAGGGTGGGGGGGGGGGGGAGTCTGTGAAGAGGATTTCAGATTTCAACTAGGAAGTCTAGGCTTTAATATTTCATATAACAATTTACAAAGTCCTGCACTGTAAGTTTCCAAGGGCAAGACTTTCTGGGCGCTAATATCTTTGACTGCTCTGACAAGGCTTCTACTTTAAAAGAGTAACTTTTGACCTCATGCATTTTTGTAACTAGGAGAGCAAATAAAAATGCCATAAAGTGTGAAGCAATGCAGGCAAGTACATCACCCTGGACACAGTCAGTGTTA